ACACTGAAGCTTTAGGGTTTAGGGTTTAGGGTTTAGGGTTTAGGGTTTAGGGTTTGAATTCTGCATCTCATAGCTTGAACGCCAACACCCGTAAGCCTAATTTGCGACAGCTCCCTGGACCAGCACTCAAACGCCACTTAAACACACTCTTATAGCTTTTCTACGAGAGAAAGCCTCGTCTAGAAGAACCCCCCTTCTCTAACAAAACCACTAAATAGCAGCGTGCTTGGTCTAAAGAGAGCATTGTCGAAAATAAAACCTTCTGTCTGAGATGAAATCTGGTCTAGCCACAGCCTTAGCCTAGTCCCACAGAACATGCATAGCTGCATATCCTTACACTCACTACAGCTAATTCCTTAAAAACCTACATGTTGATGTAGGTCTATTTTTACAACTAGGCAGGGTAACAGCCACTTATATATCCTGCCTAAAACCTAAACCCTAAACCCCTAGACCCTACACCCTAAACCATATGGCTATACTGCCCCAAAGCCCTAATTTTTGCGGGGTGCCCACACTGGAAACCCAGATGAAGCCCTGTAGAACCCTCTTCCAACGGTTTAAGGGTTTAGGATTTAGGGGTTTAGGGGTTCATGGTTGAGGGTTTACCTCAAGTGCCGGAAGGAAGCTATAGCATAAACCCTCATAGATCCCTGCCCAAGAACTTGTTCGTTTAAGGGCTCTTCGAGCCCCATTCTGGGTACTGTAAGTGCAGGCAGGAAGCTATCGTGTAGCCAGAGTCGCAGCCATCGTGGTCACAAGACCCAGCTTTTGCCAGCATGCACCTCATGCATGTAGCGTTGGGGGTTATGGTTTACAACTTGGGCATCAGACTTTATGCATTAGTGTTCAGGGCTAGGGCGCAGGGCTCATTGCAGTTTTGGGCGTTTTGAGGCTACCAGCAGCAAACCCGTATACAACCCGTGACAAAACCGTTACAGAACCCATAACCTTTACGAAACTGTGTGAACCCAAGCCCCAAGCCCTAAAACCGTAAACCCTATACCCTAAACCCTAAGCTCTAAACGCTAAAAGTCCCGAAGCCCCAAACCCTAAATCCCCACACCCAACCAAAACCCCAAACCCTAGACCGAAAGAACCACCTAAACCCTTGACCAAAAGAACCCTAAACCCTAGACCAAAAAAATCCTAAGCCCTAGACCCGACGCCATAAACCACAGAAAAAAAAAACTAAACTAAACCCTGGACCAGAAGAACCCTCAACCCCGGAACAAAAGAACATGTATCAAAAGAACCCTCAACCCTAGATCAAAAGAGCCCTAAACCCTAGACCAAAAGAACCCGCAACCCTAGATCAAAAGAACCCTCAACCCTAGACCTAAAGAACCCTGAACCCTAGATCATCAACCCTAGATCAAAAGAACCCTCAACCCTAGTCAAAAGAACCCTCAACCCTAGATCAAAAGAACCCTAAACCCTAGAACAAAAGAACCCTCAACCCTAGATCAAAAGAACCCTCAACCCTAGATCAAAAGAACCCTCAACCCAGACGAAAAGAATCCTCATTCCTACATCAAAGAACCCTAAACCCTAGACCAAAACAACCCTGAACCCTAGATCAAAAGAACCCTCAACCCTAGGACAAAAGAACCCTCAACCCTAGACCAAAAGAACCCTCAACCCTAGAACACGAGAACCCTAAATTTTAAAACACAAGAACCCTAAACCCTAGAACAAAAGGTCCATTAATTGGGGTTGTAAGTCATTATAAGTATAGTTACTTTGTTTATAACCCTAGTTACTAAGTCCCATGATCCTTGAACCATTGAAGTAGGACCCTAAACCCTAAACCCTAAACCCTAAACCCTAAACCCTAAACCTAAACCCTAAACCCTAAACCCTAAACCCTAAACCCTAAACCCGGTGCGACTCTGAGGCCCCCGCTCTCTGCAGTGAGGCGCGCAGGGCTCGCACGTCCGGAAGACCAGGTTCCTGAAACTTTGAACCCTAAATCATAGGGACTCTTCAGGGAAGCGGGGGGTTTCGGGTTTAGGGTTTAGGGTTTAGGGTTTAGGGTTTAGGGTTTAGGGTTTAGGGTTTAGGGTTTGGGAAGTAGGGGGGAGGGGGGTAGAGTGTAGTAAGGCTTAATAAGGCCGGTTTAAGGAGTATAGTCTCCACCCTACCCCCCCTCAGAGTTGCTATGGCTAACCTAGGGTTAGGTTTTTTGGACCTATGGATCCAAAACCAAGAGTTAGGATTTTGGGTTTTGGGTTTGGGGTTTAGGGTTTAGGTTTGAGGGTGTTGAGGGTTCGGGGGTTTGGTGCAGATCACCGATTTCAGATCCCGCAAAGACGAAGTACAAGGATCATCATGACCGTCTGTCGTGAGTCTGAAATTAGTAGCCGGGATCCGTATTTCGGGTTACGCGTGTAGGCTAAAACCTTCTTAGGCCACTGCTTATGAGTAACTATCAGCATCGCAGGTTCATCAAACGGAAACTAGTGATACCATGGGCCATCGTACTCGTAGCACCAACAGCTACACCAGCGGGCTGATGATGCAGGGCTTTGGGTTTAGGTTTCGGGCTAATGGCCTGGCCAAGAAATCTGAAAGCAATCAGAAGCCGGCATGAACAGACTAGGACTTAAAAGGCACCATCGAAGATCGCAAACACAAGGTCTATAGAAGCCTTATGGACCCCATTCATAGATCGTGTTTGGAACCCCAGATAGCTGAAGATCATAGATCCCTCCAGCCCTACACCCAAAGCCCTACACCCCCAACCCTGAATCCAAAAACCAGGAAACTGAAGATCACAGATCTCGGAAGCTGGGCCCCTGAACTCCGGGCAACCCCGAACCTCAACACCGCCTGAACCAATGAACCGTCCAGGCCATGGGGTTTAAGGGCTGTGGGTTTAGGGTTTAGGGTTTAGGGTTTAGGGTTTAGGGTTTGGGGTTTAGGGTTTAGGGTTTAGGGTTTAGGGTGGTTTGAGGGCTGGGGTTTAGGGTGTATGGGTAGTTCTCTAAATTAGGGCCCTCTTTGGGTCCCCAATATAGTACGGCACCCTTATAAAAAGGGCCCCAATTGGGACCCTAATGTAGAAAACTACTCATGCTCAGCCATCACTCTTCCTTCGCTCCCTTTTGCCTATGGCTGCAAGGTACTAGGTCGGAGGTTTTGAAGCCTGCTTTGCCTAGGCTAAGCGGCAGCCTCCCCCCAG